GAACTGAATGGTATTGTAAAATAAAAAATATATATCACAAAAAAAAAAAAAAAAGAATATACGGGTTGGGGATTTAGCTCAGTGGCAGAGCGTTTGCCTAGCAAGTGCAAGGCCCTGGGTTCAGTCCTTAGCTCCGGGAAAAAAAAAAAAAAGAATGAATCTAGCCTTTCACAGCTGTAGGGGGATCCAGCCTCTAAGGACTGAAGCCTTTCCCTTCACCCAGGGCATTTTTATTTTTCTCCATATTTACACTTTAGCCAGTTGATTTCCATATGTTCAAAACAACCTGAAAGAAGCTTCTAAAAATACAATGCCAAGTGCAAATTTCTGGATTCATCAGGTACCACAGTTCTTCTGATTTCCCAACCAAGTTTTGCATAGGCTTTGTGTCCTTTGTATGCTTGGGAGACTCTCAGACAAGATTCAAGAGAAACAAAGGGTATCTGCTAAACAAAAGTTGGGTTATGGCCAGGCCAGGTGTAACCCAGCAGGCATGTTGCCACAAGTAAGTCCACACCTCTTGATCCTTCCCAAACAGTTCTAGCACTGGGAACTAAGCATTCAGACACTCAAGCCTGCAGGGGCCATTCTCATTCAAAGCACTACAGCTGTCAACATCAATCACCATAGGCCACTGTCACCATTACCACCACCATCACCACCATCGCTGCCACCACCACTTAAGCCTCTCCAGAAACACTCCAATCGATAGGCCCAGATGTGTGTCTCCTAGGTGATTCCAATCCAGTCAAGCTGACAATCAAGATTAAAGGTCAGCAGCAGGGGATTTACATGTTCGTTCCTTCATGAGGCTGTTGTAGCTGACCCCAGGTTAGGCTGCCAAGCTAACAGATGTGCTGTTTCATACCTCTGAGTTCAGGATGCCAGCAGGGAGTCCCCACGATGCCCCAAGGAAGCCTCTGTCCCACTGTCCAGTTCTGGGGCTTGGCTGGACAAAAAAACCTTCTTTTTTTGTCCAGTAGGAACATCACCCTGATAATCTTCCTGAAGCATCCATCCTAAGCATCTTCTGTGACATCTACATTCGCCATCTCTACAATGTCACGGCCTTAGGTCAGGCACACCCTCCTCCAGTGCAGCCTCATCTTAATTGACCATACCTGCAAAAACCCCATTTCTAAATAGATCACTGTCTTCTTGGGGGCCATATCCCTTGACAGGTATGTTGCTAATGGCCACATGTATTTCTGGCTGCCATGTGGTTCGAGTGAGGCCCAGGCTTTGATTGTGGAATCAAAACTGTGGCAGCTTCGTAGGTCTTGCCCAGCTGGTGGGTGGCAGACCCAGGACTTGCTGACCTCTGAACTCCTGCTCTTTCCAGAAGGGTCTCCATGTGACAGACAGTTCTAGTGCTTTCCAAAGCTGCCACTTTGTTTCTCAGGGTTGGTTCTTGCACTAGGGAGGCACACACTGGGCCTCGCTGCTCTGCCCACCAAATGGCAGTGAGTACCAGCCTTTGTGTAACCTACAATGGCAGACAAATCCTCTGGGAGGTGGCAGGCAGCCCTGGGCCCCACTAGGCACTTGCCAGTTGGCAGTTTCTTGTTGGCCGTGGGGAAGGTTGGTGAAGTGCTCAGTAATGTGGGTGTGAGGGAACCTGAGTTGGGACGTCCCTTCTGTGTACTGTAACCTGAATCCTGCAATGATTCCTGAACTGGGAGTGGTGGGTTACCAGCAGCCCCGGGAGGCCATATCGCTTATCACATTTTTGTTGTGTCAAGATCACAGAGGGTTCTCACCTAGCCCCAGTGGATAGAGGGTGGGGGGCGGGCATGTGGCTCTTCACTGGAAGGAACAACTGGTCCCACCAGGTCTTGTAACCCAGGAAGGTCAGAAGGTCACCCTGAACTCAGCCAGTGACATCTGAGAAGGGCCAACAGGAGCATTCATTCATGTGTGGGGTGTCGGCTTCCCTGACTGGGGTTGTAGCTGCTAGAGCAGTGTTCAGGGTTGACAGCAGCTGAGCCATTCTGCAACTGTGAGAACCTACTGGTGTTCGGTGACTGGATCCTGAAGGCAGCAGGGCCTTCTGTACCGTGAAGCAGGCACACACTCACTCCCCCTGCTGAGCACTGAATCCTCCTGCTAAGTGCTAAATGCGGCCCCTTTCAGTCAGCCCGCAGCTCTGCAGCTCTTCCTAGCTGGCTTGGCAGCAGGCAAGCACACCCCTGCCCCCTCTGCTATGGATGAACAGTAGAAACCAGTTTTAATCCAACACACATGAGAAGTCTTGGTTGGACATGGACCTGGTCTGGCCTTGTCTTTCGTTAGCTTCCAAGGGGTGCCCCGGAAGGCCACTGGGAACACAACCAAGTCGTCACTATTCCAGTTCTCAGAGGGGAGGGGAGATGCATCTTTTGGAGTGTGGGTGATGGGATTTGGAGGCCCTGCTGGTGCTGCTTAACTGTTTAAGAAATTACCTCTTGCAGTAATTGGCCTGACACCCCCCACCCCAATCAAATATTGCCGCCCCTCACTCTTCGAGTGGTACATGTAGGATGGGTTTTTTTTTTCTTCCATGTTCATGTATGTGTATGTAGTGTGCATGTATGTGTGCCTGTTTGTGTATGTGTGTGTGCATAGGTGTGAGCATATGAGTGCCCAAGGTTGATGTCTAGAGTCATCCTTGATTGCTTTTCCACCTTATTTAGTGAGGCAGGATCTCAGAGTTTGTCAGTCACCCATATGGCTAGTGTCACTAGCCAGCTCGCTCTGGTGGATGCACTGTCTCTGACGACCGAGGCTGGAATTCTAGGTGTGTGCCACACCCACCTGGCATTTATATGAGTTCTAGGGATTTGAACTCCAGTCCTTACACTTTAACCACACAGCCATCTCATCAGCTGTATAGTGCATACAGTTCTGATTTTTTGTTCGGAGACAGTGTTGGTGATATGAATGCTCTTGTCCCTCAGGCCTCCCTTTGTGAACACCTGAGACAAGATGTCCTCTGTGTCCACTGCCAGGGAGCAAGCCATTGCACCAGGGGTTCCATGTAGGTAGATGGAGAGTCATTCACAAAACATATTGTATCTTCATCGGGATGGAGTGTGACTTTTGCACAGATGTACAGTGTATCTGTTAGGTGTTATAAACAAATAGTATGACCCCGTGTCCTATGAGCCGCATGTGTCCCAGGAGAGCTGTGAATGCCTGAAACAAAAGTGAGGGTGGTTTTTTTTTTTTTTTTTTTTTTTGTCAGCCTATTCGGTGTTCTGTAAGCTTCTTGTATCTTCATAGGTATTTTTTTCTTGCTAACTCAATTGCAGTTCTCAAGCATGAACTTTGTAGATGACAATGTTGTGTTCCAGGACAAAATGCATTTGGGAGGATGTGTGGAAGTTAAAAAAAAACATGTCATCATGAGGAACCTGAGTGTCCATAGATCTGGAGATTCAGAGGGGGTCCTGTGACCCCCAGGATATCTTAGGGACAGCTGTACTTAGCTGAGACTCTCAGTGCATGTTCTTCCCACCATAGTGCTCTCATGTATGCTGGTGTGCGTGTATGTGCATATGATAATCTTGATGTCAGTCCTAGTTGGTCAGGGAGTCCTGGGGATCATCTTTACCTTCCCAGTGCTGGGGTTCTGGGGTTCAAGCTCAGGTCCCACGCTTCGATGGCAGTCACTTCATTGACTCCCAGACAGGTTGATTTTTGTTTTCCCCAGCCTCTCTAGTTGAGGGGCAAAGGTAAACGTTACTTTGGGGCAGAGGGGACAGGAACAGAAGGAGTAGGACTCCTTTGATCCTGTGCCCAGGTTGGTGGCTCTGATGACCTTTGGCATCCCTGACCCATGTCTCCATTCCCCCCACAGAAGTGCATTCGATTTAACCCGGACGCCACCGTGTGGGTGGCCAAGCAGCGGATCCTGTGCACCCTGAACCAAGGCCTGAAGGATGTACTCAACTATGGGCTCTTCCAGCCGGCCAGCAATGGGCGGGACGGCAAGTTCCTGGATGAGGAGCGGTTGCTGCGGGAATACCCACAGCCCATGGGCCAGGGTGTGCCTTCCCTGGAGGTAACTACCCCCGTGGGGCTGGGTGAGGGTTGGTGCTATGCGGCCTGGGTGCAACTTAACCAGGCTCCTGTTTGTTTAAGATTAGAAAATTACCCGCCCTGTAGTTAAAGTCTGGCTCCTTTGGACCTTCCCTGTTAGGCATGTGTGTGATAGGTACCTGATGGCCTTTCTTAGTGGCTTTGGGCATGTGGACCATCAAGGTGATTAGCTACAGACAAAAGTGAGAGCTGAGTGTATGGTGACACCTGGATGTGGACAGGAGCCGGATGCAGAGCATTGCAGTCCAGCAGCAGGCAAGGGCGTCCTCCAGCCTGGCACTGCTCCCTCTGGTCCCATCCCGAAGCTGCACAGGCTCAGCTTGGGAGGCACAAGCTCTCCAGGCAGCCCCGGCGACCCAGTTCTTCAGGACTGACCTGTTTTGACACTTGAAAATCAAGAAAGTTCCCATCTGAGCCATGGGTGCACCTTGCCTGCTGTGGACTGGTCATCTTATGTGGGGCAGAGGGAGAGCAGGACACAGCTGCCTCCTGGGGTAGTACAGGGGTTGGCGCTGGAGAGATGGCTCAGGGGTGCTCTCCTAGAGGACCCAGGTTCAGATTCCAGCATCCAAACACACACACACACACACACACACACACACACACACACACACACACACACACACACACACTGCTTGGTGGTTTAGAGCACTTGTTGCTCCTGCAGAGGACCCAGGTTCAAGTCCCAGCACTCCCTGGGTAGCTCACAACCATTTTAACTCCACTTCCAGGGGATCTAATGCTTGAGGTACACAGATATACATGCAATCAAAACACCCATAGACACAAAATAATAAAATCAAATTAACAGCAGTTTAGATTTTCTTACTTTTATGTCCATGAGTGTTTCACTTGCATGTATGTATATTCATCAGATATGTGAAGAACCCACAGAAGCCAGAAGCCACCATCAGTCCCCAGCAACTGGAGTTACAGACGGTTGTGAGCCACCATGTGGGTGTAGGAACCTAACCCAGGTCCCCTGGAAGAGCAGCCAGTTCCCCTAACCACTGAGACATCTTTCCAGCTTCCTAAATAACATTTTTTAAAATCTAAAAACAAGGAAAATAATACAAGTCAGACTTCGGTTTGGGAATCAGCTTATGCCTCCACCGGTGTGTTCAGGCACCTGTACCCACCCTTTAAATGAGCTCCTTGGGGTGTGACAGTCTCAGAGCAGGCAGGAGGGGGGCACAGTGACCCAGAGTTCAGGAAGGTCATTCCACTCTGGGGCCCTGCGGTGGTGGTGTCCCTGTGAGACAGATAAGGAAACTGAGGCTGAGATGGGGGGAAAGAACCAGTTCAGAGTCACTTAGCAGATAGAGGACCTCGTGTTTCCTCTCAAAATCTCAGTCATGGCCTGCCCTCAGCGGCCTTCCTGAACCTCCTACAGTGTCTCTTTAAAGCTACACAAAAGTTCTGGGTGTCTGGGGGGAGAGCGGATATGATAAAGCTGACCACTGGGACACTGCTGGCCTGGGAGCGTTGTCACCAACTTCAAGTCCACTTCTCCGCTCTGCAATGAAGTTAAGTCCACTTCTCCGCTCTGCAATGAAGTTTCCAATCCCCAGCAGGTAGCAATCCCCTGAGGGGCAGCGGGAGCCCCTGAGTCCTGAGCAGAGATGTAGTTTTGACAGAGATGAGTGACAGGGAAGAAAAGTGTATCCGGGGTGCACCCCAGACAAGCTAAGGGCAGATCCATTCCCACAGACTGTCATTCAGCAGGATGAGGCTACATTAGTGGTGTGTCCGGCCACCTCACCCTTTGTACCAGCTGGGGACTAGTTTCTGTAGCTGAGAGCTTGCCCTGTGTCCTGATGGCTGCCAGATGATGGCACTCTAGTGTGTGTGTGGAGGGGTGCTCTGGAGCACAGACACCAGTGTCTTGGTTAAGACTGAGGTGCCTTGTCCTTGACCAGGTCATTTTTCCTCTGAGCACCCTTGTCTAACATTTAGTCCCCTGCAATCTTTTCCTGTTTCCATGGCAGTTTCGCTATAAGAAGCGTGTGTACAAGCAGACCAACCTGGATGAGAAGCAGCTGGCCAGGCTCCACACAAAGGTATGGGGGATATGGGGTGGGTAATACTTCCTCTACCCCACTGGGTCACCTCTGATCCTACTGTGTTGTCTTTGGAGGGCTCATTCCCTTGGGAGTGGCCCCTGGATACCTGTGGGATGAGGCCAGACTGGGGTATACAGGTGGGTGGGGCTGCCTCTCCATGCACATTGCTGGAGACCTAGCCAGACAGCAAGCAGTCAACAAGACGGCTCAGGAAAGCTGGTAGAGGTTGAACAGGGGGTTGCCACCCCCTGGTGCCCCAGAGAGGTTGAAAGGTGGCAGTAGTGATACAATGGGATGTGGTGAGGTGGGGGAGGGATGCCTGCTGAGCGCTGTCTCTGGTTTCTGTTGCCAAATCAACAGACCTTACAAAGGCAGGAAGGGCTGGCAGCGATGGGGGGAGAGGTCTGTCCTAGCTAGAGGGCTCTGTGCCCACTGAAGTCACAAGGAGTCCCTATGCCACGCACTCCAGGCATGTTAGTGAGGCCATGTGAGCATTCCTGGAACAGGGGGCAGTGATCCTGGGGCATGTGGGTGGAGCCTGGAGAACATAGTGGGGATACTGCTTCCCCTTAGATAACCCTGAGAGGCCTGGTGCTGGCCTGCCGAGCTCTCCTGCTGTGGAGAATGCACGCGGACTTTCACAACCCACAGGTTGCTCGTTTCTCAAGGGATGCAGGGTTTCCACAATGGGTTTCAGTCTCTTGTCTTCAGTTAATTTTTAAAAATTAAGTTGGTTCTTTGGCAGTTGCATACTGTATAATGCATACTGTATAAATGCGTCCTGATTGCTCTGTAATCCTTTGTCATCTCTCTCTTGTCCCTGTCAGCCCCCATACTCCCTACCAATCTTCTGTATGACCAATGGGTTGAATCTACCTACTGGAGCCTGGTGGGGTCACCATTGCATTCACAACTGAAGCCAATGACTCCCCCATTTCCTTGAATGTATTAGCAAATAGTTCATCAGTGAGGGGTAGGCCAGAGCCCCTCTTCCATCCATGCCTGACTATGGATGGACCCAGTGCAGGCATCCGCAGCTATGAGTTCAAGACTGCAGTGTCTGTGTCTTCCCAGGATGGCATCATGCTGCCCCTCTCCCTATCTTCCAACTTTTACATTCTTGCCTCCCTTTCTTCCACAATGTTCCCAGAGCCTTAGAGGGGATAGTGCCAACATCTCATTTTGGGCTGATCAGTAAACAGTTCCTTATTCTCAGCATCTGGGCAGCCCTGAGGCTCTGCAATCACTAGGAAGAGAGGATTCTTTGATTAAGGCCGAGAGAAGCATGATTTGCGCAGTGGTTCTCAACCTTCCTAAGCCTGCAACCCTTTAATACAGTTTCCCATGTTGTAGTGACCCCCAATCATAAAATTATTTCCATTGCTACTTCATAACTACTACTTTTGCTACTGTTAATGAATCATAATGTATAATCTTTGTTTTCCGATGGTCTTAGGCCACCTCTGCGAAAGGGTTGTTGGACCCCAAGGGGTCGTGACCTCAGGTTGAGAAATGCTGGTGTATGGACCTAAACAGATATTTAACAGGCAACTGGATGCTATGCCAATTTAGTAAAACAACAGTATTTCTTCCCTAGGGCCTGTGACTTCTCCTACCAAGTGTTTTTGACGTAGCTTACAACACCAGGCTTGGATTCCTACCATGGTGGGGGCCTCAAAGCCAACCAGGGAGTGGTTGCTTTTCCCACAACTGTTATGCTGCCATGGTGCTATTACCCAGGAGGTTGATATCATGATTCATAGGATTTACAGCTAGGCAAGACCGTTGGCACCTTATCTCCCCCTAGATAAGGCTATTTCATAATCTTCCATAATTATGAAAGCTGGCCGCCTAGGAGGAAGAGTCCAGCGCAGGTCCAGCCTGATTTCTCTGTAGCATGTAACAAGCTCTGCCATCTCTTCAGCCCTAGGGTCTCATCATCTAGTTCTGATGAGCAACCAGGACAAATGGCCACAGCCTGTGTTGTTTTAGGGGCCTCTATGGCCTCTCGACCAACATTGTTTTAATTTTTGTGCCTACGTTATCCATCGGTGGCTGGCAGATGCCCATCACTTTGTTTCCTGTCCTTGACCTCTCAGCCATGTTCTAGCCAAGTATGGTCCAGGCTCTTCGTATGTATTTTCTGTCTCAATCCTGGAATCCACATGGATATGATTGACCCCAGCATCTTAGGATTTCTCTAGTTACTTTTATTGTTGCTGTTGTTGTTATTTATTGTGTAGATACAAATACTTGTGAATTTAAAGAAAAATGTCAATGAGTGAATAGCCGCAGTTTAAATGGCCCTCCAGGTTTGGGACATTTGTTATAATTCCAGACTGTAAGATGTTCAGATGGGAATCTGGCCCATGGAAGGTGCCTGGAAGGCCCAGGCACATCATCAGATAAAAAATCACAGGTGCTCCTGTCCTGTGTTGTGGAAACTGTGAATCAGGATGAGGGTGGGGCCCAAGAGAGAGATGCTGGGTTCTTCCTGATCTGTGGCCAGGCTGCCTGCCGAGGGTGGAGGCAGACAGGCAGGCTTTGGGAGACTGAGGTTCTGTGGCTGACCTGTATGATCTCTTGTATGTAGGAACTGATTAGGGGTCCCCCAGGACAGATGTCACTGTTTCTGCTCTGGGGTTAATGGGCGGGGCTCAGCAGTCTCCTCTTTACAGATGAGACCTCAGCCTCAGCTTCCTTTCATGGAATAGAGTGAAGGGTCTGAATGGGTCCTGGAGACTATCAGTTGTCACCCCACCCCAGGTGATCTTTTCTCTCCCCATGAGAGAGCATCTCTTGCCCCCGGTATGGTAGAACCTACTTCTGCTGTTATCACAACTTAAAAACCACAGGCAGACTGGCGCTCCCACAGCTCCAGAGCCCTAGGCTGTCTGGAATTTGGATTTCTGGGTGCTCAGGTTATGGATGTCAGTGGTGGTGGAGTGAGTTCTCTGGGACCTCTTTATATGGTTATGACCCCCCCCCCCCGCCCCCCGCCAAGGGCTCCACCCTAATGACCCAGAGATCCCAGTGCCATTATACAGGGATTACAGTTTACTGAGTGAATTATGGAAGGACAGACATTGAAACATTGGTATAGAGATGGCGAACAGCTAGGGTTCTGAGACATTCATTTAGGACAGGCCCATGGTGTTGACGCCACTGTAGGCCCCGTGTGCAGTGCCCTGCACGAAGGAGGCCAGGAGACAGTCTTCTCTTAAATCTATAAAGGCCCTCCCTTCCTCCCTTCCTCCCTCCCTCCCTTCTTCCTCCCTCCCTCCCTCTCTTCCTTCCTTCCCTCCCTCCTTCCCTCCCTCTCTTCCTTCCTCCCTTCCTCCCTCCCTCCC